CCCTCCCATGCTGTGCACCAGGGTGAGCCGTGTCCCCCCCACCAGGCTGAGCTCTGCCCCTCCCCTGGCCTCTGTGCCCCTTGTTCCCCCTTGCCCCAGAGGGGTCACAGCCACGACACCTCCCAGGCCCTGGCAGTGTCCGGTGTGCGCAGGCAGAAGCAGAGACGCGCAGACAGGTAATGTGTGTAATCCAGATATATTTATAGGATTATTTTCCAAGATTAGCACAGGATATTAGAAAGGTTATAAAGTCACATCGATGTTCGTTGTCTCCCTTTTATGTACATACAAGAACACAGCACAACAACACAGACCATCCTCTGCCCTGCCTTGCTGCCGCCCCATGGCGTCTCCAGAGCTCCCTACAAATATGGCTTTCGTGTCTATTGAGAGTTCAGTGCCGGCCAGGAAGTGGCTGGAGCCTCGCCAGGGCTGGTGAGCGGGAGTGAACAGGCCTGGCTGCAAACGAGGACCACAGGGTCCCGAATACTCCTCGGTTCCCCAGCACCGGCCCTGGCTGCACCCTGGTTTGGATACCCCAGGCCCAGCACAGGTGACAATGGTGGCACAGAGTGGACATGGGGCTGGAGGTCCCCTGCCCGTGTGGTCAACGAGGACCCCCTGCTCCCGAAGGGGCCACCAAGGCCCAGGGAGGTGGCTGGTGCCCTGGGCTCTCCCAGACACGCGGTGACACCACCTGGCTTTTCTGGGCACCGGCAGGGAGGGACAGGAGCCCAGTGCCTCCTCTCCCCTGTGGTAGTGTGTCCCTCATGTCACTGCCCCAGCAGCACTGCCTGCCCCCTTGCTTCTTCCCTCCGCAGTGCGGCGCATCCACCATCGGCCACATCAGTGACACCATGTGCCCTGCTGCCTCCCCGTGCCGCTGATGGTGTGGTGTCACCCCCATGCTAGCATCAAGGTGTAGCTTCTCACCCCTTCACATGACCCACATCACCTCTTGTACTTATGACATGGTGTACCCAACCCTCCTTGACAGCCCTGAGCCGGTGTACCACAGTGCTGTACACATGTACAACAGCACATGCCTCAGACTCAACACAGGGTGTATTCCATCAACCCCCCCCTCACATCACCCTAACACACTCATGGCGTGGTGCAGCTCACGACTGACACCCATCGTGCCCCCACTCATGGCTGTGTACCTGTTCCCCTGCACACCTGTGACATGGTGTATTCACCACCCCAGAAGTCTCAACACACGGCGTACCCCACCAAGCCCCTGGGCTCCCAAAATGGTGTTTCCCACCACACCTCACACCCATGACATGATCTATTCATCAGGGCCTCAAACTCACAAAGTGGTTTCTCCATCATGCTCATGACATGGTGTGTCCTATCTCTCCTTCCACCGGCAGCATGGTGGGTGCACCATCACTGCACCCTCCCACACCGTGACATGCCCCATCGCAGCCTCATGACGGTGTCCCCATCACCCCTCGCACTCATCCCACAGCATCTCCCTCTTCACACGTGTGACCTGGTGTATCTGTCACCCCTCACACGTGACATGGGATCTCCCTTGCCCTCATGCCTGTGGCAGAGGGTCTACTGCTCCCTTGCATCTATCAAAGCCCTTTGGCTCTTGCTTGCAGATGCAGCCTCATGTTCATGCTCCCACCTCTCCCAGGACCTGCGACGCCTGGGGCCATAGCTCAGCCTTTCACCATGGCTGTAGCAGGACAATGGGCCCACCTGGGGTGAGACCCAGCCCATCCTTTGCTAACATCTGCTGCAGGCAGCAGGTCCCACCCCGATGCCCTGCCTGTGCCCAGTCCTCCCCGTGCTGCATCCTGCCATGTCCCATACCATGCAGCATCTCAAAAAGGCCAAATCCTGACTTCTCTCACCAGGGTAAAGCGGTGACCACTGGTGCCAGCCCTTGAAGCAGCTCTGGAGCAGCGGTGCTGGGGAGAAACTGGCCACGGCCATGCCTGCGCTGCCTCAAAGGGGCACAAAGCTCCCTGTCCGACGTCAGCTCCCACCTCCTTTTCCCTAGGGACCAGTTAACCCCCTTCCCTCCCAGACCCCTGGGTTGGGGCTTTCTTTGTAACGATCTACAGCACGTAGACTTACAATGACATTAAACTGTACTTGAAAACATGTCCTTGCATTTTTATTTGAAGGAATTACTTCTATTCGATAGTGGATGTTAAAGATCTTCAGTGAAGCGTCAGGTCGCACATTCATACATGCTCAGTGTGCAGTGGAGTAGTTAACAGCATCGACATCTGCAGTGTTATCTCCGGCAGCAACGGTTGCATCCCTTGAAACGAGCTCAGAGCTACCGTTGGGACTCCAGGCCAATGTCCTCCTCCAAAGAGATAGGAAGGGAGGAACAACGTCAAGAAAACCGCAGGTTTTCTTCGCCATATACCATGAAGGCTTTGTGCACTTCTCTCTTGTGGTGCTAACACCCTGCTGCCTGCATGGTCCTGACACACGATTTAGCCACAGTGAACCTAATCACATCTGTGCATGTGCCACAAATGCATCGCTCATTCACACCCTGTGCCTGCCACCAAGCCATGCCTCTTCTTCCTCGCCTGCTTGGCCCCAGCCCCCTTCCAGCCCCGCTTGCTCTGCGATGGTTTTCCTGTGGGCATCCTCCTTGCGCCATGTGCTCACAGCGTCTGGATGGGAGCAGCACTACCTGCCCCATGGGCACCTGGTACCCCATGGTGGAGGACACAAGCTCTTCCTCTACCTCCAAGGTGAGGTTACCCACCCACCAAGGGCTTCTGCTCCTTCCCAAAGGCCTCTCCTCCTCCAGACAACCCGAAATCGAACGGGCTCCCAGCTGAAAGGCAGCTCTTGCAAACCCCTTGTGTCCAGACCAAGAGATGCTGGGATCCTGGGAAGCTGGAAAACCTCATCCCAAGGGTGAGGGATGGGGCCTGGCTCCCTGGGGGATGTGGGTTTTTCTGCAGATGCTGGAGTGCATAACCCCCTGCAGCCCCATCATGTGGGTGTGTGGTTGGGGTGGGCCAAGCAGACCCTGGGGACATGCTGGAGAGGTTGGGAAAGCTTCTTATTTTTGTCTTGGAAGAGATAATGAAACAGGTAGGAGGTAGGGCAAGACCTCCAAGCCTTCTTGGAGATCCGCGAACTACCGAGACACTAAACCCAGGCATTTTGGCCACTGTTGGCTGCAGCCCTTGGAGCTGAGAGGGAAACGGCCTTTTCCAAACTCACACCTGCCCTGGGAAGGGGCTGGGGAGGGAAGGGGGACAGACAGCTCCAAGAAGCTGACCCCGGTGGAGACCCTCTCTGCACATCTCCTTGGCCAGAGGAGTCCCAAGCCTCATGCTGCTCTAGGCTGCTTGCGCTGGAGAGCAGGTTGTCTCCAGCTCAGCTCAGCTCCTGTGGTGCCATGAGCTGTGTCAGCTCTGGTTGAAGCCACCCTCAGGGTCTAAACTACCTTTCCAGAGGCTCTGGGTGCCCCAGAGCCAGCCCAGCAAAGAAGGAAGTGGCGATGGCTACAGGCCCACTGGCTCTCCTGGCTCTGCCCCGTGCTCCCAGTGCTGTGGCCTCCTGCACTGAACATCTCAATAGATGGTTTAAATTGATGTTTCCAATCTGAGAATTTGTAAAGTTGGGGCTTTTTCTCTGGATTCGCCCCTAAACCTCTGCCCTCCCCCCTCCCGCTGGGGTGGGACCGGGGAGCTGCAGTGCCTGGCAGCTCCCAGTCTCTCTGGGGGCCTCAGCGGTTCCCACCCTGGAAGCTCATCCCCCCCTTCACACATCTACTGCACGAGGACAGCTCTCCTCCCAAATGGACACTGTTCAACAAGAACCACCAAGGATAAAATCAGGGCAGGGGCCTGGGGTCCCTCCCCACTTGACCCCAGCCACATGCCAAGAATGCAGAGATGCTGCCTGTTGGTATCCCGCTCCTGTCCCACCGGCCATGCTCCCTGTCCCAGCTGGGGCTGAGGCCATCACACAGCAGCTGAGGTTGGGGGAGCAATGGGAACGTGGGTCCTGGCTCTCGGTGGGAGGCACAGGGCGAGCGTTCGTGACAGAGGGGCTGCCCAGCTGCCCCGAGCTTGTACCAGAGCCTGGAACTGATTTTATCCTTGGATGTCAGAGAAACCAAAATGGAGGGAAACAAAGGAAAGAGCTACATTGACCCCAGCCCAACATCCCAACCAAAGGCCCAAAGCAAAGAGCAGCCACGAAACCAAAGCAAAGGTCCAAAGGAAGAAGGAAAGTTGCTCACTCACTGGTTCGTCTGTGTTTTGCGCGAGCGCTGGTCACAGGGATGGAGGTGCAAGCAAGCAAACGGGGCCAGGGCTTTTGCTGTTCGTAATAATAATGTTTTGTACAAGTTCAAGAAGAAGCATCATGTCTGAGGCCGGTCGCTCTCTGCTCTCTGTCCCGCCATCCCTCTGTCCGTCCATCTGCCCATGCCGGGCGTGAGAGAAAATCTGTTGGGTTGAGTGGGGTTTGTGGTCTGATTTCCGTTTCCATCGGGGTTTTTTGGCTCCATTTCTCACTCTCTCCAACACCCCTAGATGAAATACTCCTTCTTGTCGTCGCTGCTGGCTTGGCCGCCCTCTGCATTGATGATGGCCGTGTCAGCGTCTGGGGCGTCGTCTGACCCCTTGGCCTCGTGGGTCAGGTAGGTACCTGGGTGGGGAGAGGGGCTCAGCATCACGAGGGGGCCCTCCTGGCACCCTGCTCCCACGCAAGCAGGGGGAGGCTGGGCTGCCTGGAGGGGCCCCAGTGGCAGAGCGCGAGGGCTGGCTGGAAAGTGGAGGCGAGAGGAAAGTCCTTTGGGTTTGGCCTGAAATGGAAAAGTCACCGGTTTCCCTGGGACAAGCCCTGCCCGGGGACCGAGCCTCGCCTGGGTTGCTCAAGGCTTTTGCAGTCAACTCTAGCCAGAGGGTGAAACTGCCTCCCCTTTGCAGGCAGCAGCCTTTGCCTGCATTTCCAGGCACGTCTCCTGCCCTCCCCACTGTCTGCCCCTCCCTGCATCCCTGTCCCTGTTCCCCCTCAGAAAACTGGAGGGTTTCTCTGCAAAACTGCCATCTGCAAGGAGGCTCCAGCTCCCGGCTGCCCCTGGAGCTGGCATGGCATGGGGCAGAGGCGGCAGCTCTGCTGGGCTCAGAGGGCAGGGATGGGGTGCTCTTACTCACACATCACCTCTGCTGGGTTTTGCCGATGTCTGGATGTGACCGTCTCCCCGTGTCTTATGCACATACCTGCCGGGCGGATGAAAAGTCCAGGGATGGGGAGATGCAAATGGTGGAGGGGAAGGATGAAGAGCAAGGTGGAGGGCTCGAGGGATGGCGAGGAGGGCAGGGAGAGGGAGGAGGTGGGGTCAGGCACAGACGGGGACAGTGGCATGGGTAGTCCCGGAGCAGTGGATACCAAGCCATAAACGAGAGATGGAGAAATGGGGTAGAAGCTGTCTCCACCTGGTGCTGCCCAGCTCCAAGGACTCACTGGGACATCTCCACGCTGGGGTTGGTGCCAGCACGGGCATGGCCAGCAGCCCCCAAACCCAGGAGGGCTCTGTTGGCTGCACTGGGTTTCTCTGGACACGGGGCAAGTCTGCAGGATGGGGAGCTGCCTCTCTTCACCCCTGCCCCACGCTGCCCACTCGCTTTGGGGAAGTAGCCCTGCTCCCAGAGACCCACCGAGGGGTGAGCACACCTTGCGCTGCCTGCTCCGATGTGGCACGGGGGTCTTGGCTCCGTGCCCCTCCATGTGCAGCTCCCGCACCCCGTACCTTTGTGTCTGATCAGGTAGTGTCCCAACACGATGAGAAGACTGAGCAGGAGGAAGACAATGACGGCAACCACCCCGCCGATCACCGCATGGTACGTGCTGGAGGTTGAGGGCACCGGGCTGGCATCTGCCCAGACAGCAAAGGGAGAGAAAACAGAGAGAAGGAGATGCTGTGGACCCTGCTGCGTGGCAGAGGCTGCTGCTTGTCCCACAGATCGCTCAGAGCTGCAGGTGGGTGCCTTGGAGGGCCCAATCCTGCTTGGATCAGTGACATCAGCTTGATCCTGCTGCAGACGACAGCTGTCGAGGTAGGTGCAAGGAAAGGGAAGGCAGCGGGGGAAGCAAGGAGGGGAAAGCAGTGGCCATCAGTGCCAGCTCCTGTGGGGAGTCAGCCAAGAAAAGCCCCAATGGCTGCGCTGGGAGTCCTGCCTGGGTGAGAAGGCAACCAAGAAGAGCTGTGATGGGCAAACCCATCCCTGTGCCCAGCTGCCTGCGATGTGTCCCAGGGAGCAGCACCGGCAACATGCTTTGTGCAGCTTGTGGTATCTCTGCCTTCAGGCACAGCCATGATCCCACTGCCCCATCCTTCACGGTGGAATTTTTGCCCCAAAAGGGGAGGCTGAGCACATGGTAGAGCCAGGCTTGACTCACTCTTCCCCTGCGCCATGCCAGCAGGAAGGTGACATGCAGGCTGGCATGGCCATACACTGCACCCCAGGAGGAGACGGCACCCCAAGGAAGGTGGGACCCCAAGGCCAGTCCCAAGTCAGCCGCATCTTGTAGCGCAGTCTGTGCTGGGATCCTGCGTTAGCCCTGGTACACAGGGACAAATCCTCCTTCCACTCCACTCTCATTGTGCCCCGCCAGCTCTTGGGGGACAGAGCCACAGAAGCATTCAGACAGGACAGGGTGGGAAAGACAACAGGGAAGGCGACAGGATGGAGGGACATCTCACATGGACACAAGGCACAGGTTGCAGTTCACAGGCAGCTGCTGCCACAACCTGCCAGGAAGAGCTGAAGGACCATTATGCAGCCCAGGCTCTGGGGCCTCAGCTCTTTCTGTTGCGTACCACCACCCCGAAGTGCTGAGATGGTGGCTGCAGAGTCCACACATGCCAACAAGCAGTTGCACAGGGACTGGAGCCTGGCTGGGAACCTGGGACATGGCAAGGGTGCCCCTGGCCCAGGGCTGGGCCACCATCCTCCTGTGGAGCTTCTCCCACCGGGCTGGGGAGCAGCGGGTCCGTAAAGAGACAGAAAAGGAGCTTACGGTACCTTGGATGGGAGCTGGAGTGAAGGATGAAGCGGTGGCCATGGAAGCATGAGAGATGGGCTGGGAAGGGCCCGGCGGAGGGGCTGGAGTGGAGTGAACGTGTGGGGTGGGGAGCTGGGAAAGATCTGGGGAGGACAACAAAAACACAGGGACACGAATCAACCCCAGGAGGTGCCAGTGAGGCGTGACAGAGCCCATCGGAGAGGACCCCGGCTCCCCCCAGCCTGATGGGACCAGTTCTTCTCAGCGGCTCCTTCCATGACCCCTTTCTTGGCCACGGGTCCCACTCCTCTTCTCCTGCCACTGTCCTCTGGGACACACTGCTGTGAACATCTCCCTCCATCTCCTACCCTGCCAGCACCCCTGGTCACCCCTTCCTCTGTGAGGGACCCCATTGGGACCCTCCTGCCTGGGAGCCCTGGGACTGCAGTGGCCGGAAAGTGTCACCCACTGTGAGGTGCCACCTGCACTTTCCTATGCACACCCTCGGGGACTGCTCCGTCCCCGCTCTCCCTCACAGCCAAGCAAGGTGGCTGCTGTGGCAAGGCAGGCTCGAGGGCTCAGCCGGGCAAGGCGGCTGCTCCAGTGATGGTGCCCAAGACCCGAGTGGCTCTGGGGAAAAAGAGGGGGGATTTGACCCCAAGACCCGAGTGGCTCTGGGGAAAAAGAGGGGGGATTTGACAAGGGCGAATCAAGCCTATATGTGGAGCTTCTCTGCCGGGGGCTGTGACACCAAGCAGGTGAGGGACACTGGTGTTCTGGGTGCTGTGTGCTCATGGACGGTGTCGAGCACCCCGGATGCTGCTGTGAGCCTGCGGATACCTGCTGAGCACCCTAGGGGCTGCTCTGCTCCTGGATGGGTGCGGAAGGCTCTGGGTGCTGCTCTGTGCTCACAGCCGGGCTCAGGAATCAGCGCCCTGTGCAGACCCCGCATCCAGGGGGATGGGAGGGACACAAGGGGTGACAAAGGAATGACTGCACAGGGTTGGGCATTTAGGGGCTTATCCTGGGCAGGCAGAGGAGAGGTACTCAGGGGGACAGGGTGCCTGAGGTGCCATTGCTGCCATGCGCTCCCTCTACCCACAGCCATGTTGGAGGGGAAGGATGCCAAGAGTGCCCGAAACAGGAGGGGAGGGAAAGGGGCCGGGAAAGGGAAGACCTGGAACATGTACAAGTGCTGGAAGATGGAAAGTCCAAGGCTGGTAGAGAGGAGAGAGAAGGCAAGAGATTTGGAAGAAGAGGAGGATAACCCCAAATCCAAGGCCAAAACCGCAGGGAAACAGGCTCCTACCAACATGGGAAAGCTGCCGGGCAAGTGGCTGGGTGCTGAGCACAGGAGCCAGAGCAGCACCGCCACCAGCCAGGGATGGGCTGGAGAAGCGCTCGCAGCCCCACGCAGCACACAGCTCTGCTCCACGTGCGACACATGGAGCTTGGACGTAGCAGGGCACAATGACAACAAACACGGTGGCAGAGCACAGCTGGGGCAGGGGGAGGTGGTGAGGGGATGGCACCGTGCCAGGAGGCGGCGCATGCTGCCCCTTCCCATGCGAGGATGGGTGTCGACTGGTGATACACTCTGGGGACATGGGACACAAGGCAAGCCTGCAGGTCCAGCGGCTCAGGGCAAGCCATGGGGCCTGTCTCCAGAAGCTTGGGACAGGGCTGGCAGGGCACCTCGTGGTCTGGAGGGGTCAGTGCCGTCTGGAAATCCTTTTTGGCTTGTGGTGGCAACACGCAGAGGCTTCCTGCAACAGGCTCAGGAGCACTGGCCTTTCCTCCTATCCCAGGGACTCCAGCAGAGTCCTGCCTGCAGCCCCTGCAGTTCCCCCATCGCAGCCTCTCCCACTCCCCATCGGAGGCAACAGGGACTGAGCTCAGCCTGGGCCATGCCATGTCCCTGCCCTGACTCCCCCAAACTGCTCTCTGCCCTTCTCAGCCCCAGGCAGCGGCCTTGCACAGTGCAGGGAAGGACAGGGGGGCTGGATGTGGCCAGAGGAGCTGGGGATGCAGCGCTCTGCCAGTGAGCGTGCCAGGACTCAGCTGCATGCACGCACCCACTCTGCACCACAAAGCTTCCCCTTCCACCACAGCCCTCCCTGGATCCATGCACCCCTTCACAGGGAGACGCAGGTGGGATGGAGGTGGCTGTGCCATCCAGCAGCTGCTGGGAGAAGTTGGGTGATGTTGGGTGCCCTGCGGCCCCGCTTACCGCTGACGTCGAGGTTGTACTTGGCCACGACGCTGCCCATGGAGCTGGTGGCTGTGCAGACGTAGGTGCCGCTGTCACTCTTGTTGAGGAAGGGGAAGATGAGGACGCTGTCAGAGCTGAGCTGCAGGGGCACGTCGCTGCCCTCCTTCTCCCACAGGAACTCCTGGGGGCTGCGAAGTAGGATGGCGGTGAGGCACCACCGCCTTCCCCAGCACCCTGGGCGGGCTGGGGCAGAGCGGAGTCCCTGGCCGGGCAGTGGAAGGGGCAACAAAGGTGTGGGAGTATTTAAGCAGGAGGGAAATACCCCATTTAGAGATGAGCTGGGATGGATCTGCTGCTCCAGGGAGAGGACAGGGGCTTTGCCTGTTCTCCGTGGGGTGCCTGGCCCTGAGCCCAACACAGTGCTACCTGCGATGCCCTGCCTGAGCTCTGGGGAGGGCTAAGTGGTGGTTTTGGGAGCCTGGCAGCAGGAGGACGAGTTGGCCGGGGCCTGGCGGGGCTGAGCAGGAGGAAGGCGAGGGGGGGCCTTACATGGGGTTGCCCTGCCCGTCGCACTGCAGCTGGAGCTTCTCGCCTTCCCGTGGGTACTGGGGATGCGGCTCGATCTTTGCTGTCGGCTTGTCTGAAAAAGGAGAGGCACAGTTGGGTGACCGCCTGTCCCTGCCCCACACTGTGCAGGGGCCTCCCGGCACCCCAAAACCCTGCCCCTGCACCCTGCCTCGGCCCCAGCTGTGTGTGTACAGGGGTGCAGCGTGAGTGCACCTGTGGGTGGTAGGGTGCACCGACGTGAGGGTCGGCACTCTGGAGGTGCACAGTGCAGCTCCCATGTCCCTCACCCTGTCATCACAGGGGACATGCAAGACAAGGGGAATGGGAACAGGCAGGACACAGGAGATGGTACAAGTGGGTAGGAAGGGATGGCACAGACAAGTCTCAAGGAGATAGGGACAGGTAGGACATAGGGGGCAGGGACAGGCAGGGGAAACCAAGGGCATGCATGCGCAGGGGAAGTGTCACCGTGCAGTGCCCCTATGCGTGACAGGAGCTCTGTGCATGCAGGTTGATGAGCCTGTATGCATGTGTGACGGCTGTATGTATGTGTAAATGTAGGGCCATGTGTGTGATGTCTGCTCAACTGTGGTGATGCTGAGGCCTCCTCCACCTCTCCCACCCCTCCACAGCCCTGTCCCCTTTCCCATGTGGCCCTGTCTCATCATCCCCACGCACAACGTACAGTGGACCTGCAGCTTCTGCGTGGTCGACCTCTCAGAGTTCTGCAGGGACTCGTGGTCCACGGTGCAGGTCACCTCGGCTTCGTTGTCCTCCTTGGTGACGCGGAACTCCACCCGACTGCTCACGGTGAAGGTCTTTCCGTTGGGGTCCTCCACCACCTCAGTGCCCTCGTCTGTGGGGACAGGGGACTGTTAGAGCTGATGGACACAGTACCCTAGCAGAGGCGTGAGGCTGACACGTGTGTTGAGCAGGGGACACCTTGTCCCCATGCCTTTGTTGGCAGTAGCATAGGATGCCAGTGTGGTCCAGCACCAGGCACATCTGCAATGCCTGGTGTCCCACCTGCCTCCATGGTGTTCCCCAGCCACCCCAGTCCCTTGGAGCAGAGCCCCACTGCTTGCGCACCCACCCTTCAGCTCCTTGTTGCCCTTCTTCCACCGGAGCTGGGCCGCAGGCTTGCTGCCAGAGGACCGGCAGGTCAGCCGGGCTATCTTCTCCTCATCAATGGGCTGCTCATGACCGAAGATTTGGGGTTTCTGGGGGATTCCTGGTAGAGGAGGAGGCAAGAAATACAACAGCCTATTAGCTGTGTGTGTGCTGCCACCCAGAGACGGATGCACATGCAGAGACGTCAATAAACACAGCAAGGATGAGTTAACGGGTAGGGATATGGGAGTAGCAGAGATGAACGGCTGCATGGACAGCATCTTGCAGGCAGGGCAGTAGCAGGCAGGAGATCGGGAGCAGGTGGGGGGGCTGCCACCAGTGGCTTACCCAGCACGGTGACGAGGGCCTTCGCAGTCCGCACAGGCATGGTGAAAATGGAGCAGGTGTATTCCCCCTCATCCGACAGCACCACGTCACTGATGCTGATGGTCAGCTCGTTGGGTGTGGACCTCTCCAGCTGGATCCTGTTATCTCGCAGGGCTGGGGGAAAAGTGACAACAGGGTGAGTGACAAGCTCTGTACCACCACACCCCTCCACTAGCTCATACTTTGCCTGGTGGCATCACTGTAGGTGGGGAGCAGGAGGAAACATCATCCTCTGGGGCACCATTGGCCCTGGTCCACTTTCTCTCTGCCCCACCATCGCTCTGGTCCTGGAGTGGGCTCCTCTCCCCCAGCCAGCCCTCTCCCATCCCCAGTTCCTGCGCATGTACCTCGTTTCTCCCCAAAGTAGAGGGTCTGCTGGGCAGGGTTGGACCACTGCAGCGAGGAGTCATCGGGATCCTCCACCTGGCACTTGAGCACCACTGTACCACCGGCTACCACAGTCTCATCCGATGTTGTGGGCTGGCTCTCTGGACACAGACAGGAGAGGTTAGTGGGGGCCCTGGGCATCACCTCTCCCCAGGTGTGCACGAGCATCACTGAACAACCAAGGGAAGGGAGGGAGGAACACAGCAGCGTCCCCAACCCCCCTGGGACAAGTAGGCCTCCAGTGCTGGGCTGAATACAGCTTGCTTGGGACAAACATTTTTTCCAGCTGACCCCAGGCCCTGGATGGCTGGGCTACACAGACTGGGGTAGGGGGACCAGGTCACCTTGGCTCAGCTGCTCTGGGTGGCAGCATGGAGGGGCATAGGGAAGAAGAGCAGGTGTTGGCAGAGGTCTGGCTGGATCCAGGGAGACTGCCAGTGTGCACACGTGTATATCTGGGAGCATCTGTACAGCCCCTTGAGCATGGATGTGCACACACACACACGTGCTTATGGTGCATGTCCCTCTCCAGGGACAAGGGGTTTCTACCGTACAGGCAGCGTGCTTGGAGTGGAGCCGTTCTGCACACCCTGGGGACAACAGGGACCTGCTCACAGGCACATGTCAGCCCAGGTCTCCCACTGCAATCCCATTGCCCAGCAGGGAACGGCCCCACTACAGCTGCAGAAGCAAGGACCAGCAGGCAGGATCCATCCTGCTGCCCAACCTGCAGCACCGGCTGGGACGGCAGCTCCCGGGACACTGCTGTTGGCAGGCAGTAGCTCCATGCCAACCTGCACAGACACATCAGCGTCAGGCCTGGCTCCGAGCATGGCCCCTGGGGCTGCTGTAAGATACAGGCAGCTGGTGCCCACCAGGCATAAGCTGATCCAGACAGGAGCAGGGGTACGCCAGGAGGCAGCAGGAGAGCCTGGCACCAGCACAGGCACCAGCTGAAGGTGCCTGGGGAGGCAGCAAGCTCTGCTCCACTGCCCTGGCAGTGCCAGCAAGCCAGGGCTCGCACCCATGATGCCTCCATGCCAAGCACCCCATGCAATGGGATGCTCCACCAGTCATCTCCACCCCTGCCTCCAGCAAAAGTGTCCACGGTCCACTGAGTGTGGCCTGTGGGGTGCAGTCAGTGGCCTGCTCTCCATGTTACTCCTTAAGGGGATTTTCTCTTGCTCACGCTGCTCCTGGGCTCTGCACGTCCCTTCCCAGACTGAGTCTCCTCAGCTAAGACATTGTCCTTTGCTTCCTTCAGGCTCCTTGGAGGGCTCCACACTGCCAAGCAGCCCAAGGACAGAGAAGAGCAGCAACAGGATCAGATAACCCCCCCGCTTGCCCCAAGGACAGCTATTTTGGGAAAGCTGATGTGCCAGTGAGCTGAGCTGCACAGGGAGAAGGGGGATGCTGGCTCTCCCAGCTGGGGGCTGTACACTTTCCTCACCCAGCTGGGTCCACAGGCAGCCACATGGACAAGAGGGAGGAACACGGATGCTTCTATTTGCACTTTGCTCATGTGCTGGACACAGGGCTTCACAAAGTGTCATCTTCTATCTCAGCCCAAGTTACTCATGTTTAGGCAGGGTCTCCTCCTCAGGACCCCTGAGCCTTGGGTGATCCTGCCTGTGTGCCCACGCAGCCTGTAGTGCAGTCCTGATTTCACAGGCTTGGTTTCCTGCGTGATATTCACTGCTTGGGAGAAGCTCCAGTTATTGGAAGGAGAGGAGTGGAAGCAGCTTCGGATGAATTTCCCCATTTTCCACTCAGAATGGTGAAGGGAAATATTTTCTTTTGCTCACATTGCAAATTCCCCAAAGCTATCGCAGGGAGCAGGAAGGAGTGAAGAGGAAGGAAGGCAGGAGGACAAGGCTGCTGGGCTTCCCAGGGACCACTTGGCTCGTGTTAAACTCCAGGAAAGCCTGGGCTGGAGAGCACGTGAATCCCTCCCTGCAGGGATCCATCCCAGCAGCCATGATTACCAGAGATGCATCAAATTTGGATTAAAAACATTCCCAGGGTAAAGACTCTCTCTCCAGCCCAAGGAAACTCCCAATCACTAATGCTAATGTTTCATGCTTGCTATTGAAGTTTTGATCCTCTCCACCTGCCTGGGTTTGATGGCCAGCCCTTGGCCATCACTACACTCTTGGTTGAACACCTCTGGTTCTTCCCTGCAGACATTTACAGGTGGTGATCAAGCCTTCCCCACACACCAGCTGGATGGAGCGCCCGAGCCTCACTTCACAGCCTGTTCCCAGCTGCTGATCACAGCCCAGGCTCTTCCCTGACATGTCTCCAGCTTGCTCAAGGCCTGGGCATGGTGGGAGCTCCGGTGAGGACCACTGGGACCCCTGATGCTGGGGATGGCACCGGGTGAGCGAGACACCCTCCCCCTCCCCCGCCATGGGGGACACGTCTCTGCAATGTCACATGCTGGGGTCTGCAGCTTGGCCAGGGACAGAGGCCATGGCTCTCTGTCTGCTTCTCTGGGGAGATCTGTCTGTCAGCTTGTTTTAATTTGGTTAACAATGCCTTTGTGCTGCTACTACCATAATCAGGGGATTAGGCTGTTGCAAGCTGCTGTTGTCCAAACTCAAAACACTCCAACTTGGATGCAGTTGAGGACAGGGTCTAAAACCCACACAGAACAGACCCAATCTCTTAATTAACACAATTACCATCACCTGCCACAGCACTAGCCTCATTAAGGTATTAGTGTGGAGACACATTAAACAGAGCAAGGTGTCTTTCCCCCAGGGCAGGGGCCAGGCAATGCCACCCATACCCCCATGCTGGGTGACGCACAGGGCACCACACAGACCCATTGAAGCTCCAGCTTTGCCTTGTTGACAACCTCCCTTCTCCCTCCCCAGCTCACAGCTGTATAGCCAGGACCACCAAGATGGGTCCTCAACCCCCTGGAGACCACGCTTCTGTGAGCGCTGCAGAGCCCTGCGTTTAGCTTTCCCGCCTGCAGGCATGTGCTGGCGGCTCGTGCAGGGTGGGGGACACAGCCCCACACCAGCCCCTGCGGCAGAGCCCCTCTGGCCTGCCGCACTATGCCCTCCGGCACGACCTAGATACTCAGCTCACCTCCGTGCCATGCGCCCGACAGCTTGGAGGAACAGATGGGCACGGCTGGGCCACTGCACCAGTGCAGCTTGATTTAATTAAAAACCGCCATGGCTGTAACCTGCTGGCCCTTGACAGAATAGGGGCAGAGCTGCCCCGGGAGCTGCCATGGGGCCAGGAGAGGAGGGGGTGGCAGGACCCCAGGAGCAGCAAGTCCCACCACAGGGAGCTTCACCCCTTCCCGCTCCTGCCACGGCCTGCGAGGAACAAGGCACAACCTGTGGGGTCCCCGTCCCTCTGCAGCCTCACTGCCACCCTCGCAGGCAAGACCCCCTCTGGCAGGGCAGGCAGGTGGGCACAAGGGGCAAAGCTGCCATCCCATGGCTGGGGACAGTGGCACACTGAGAACGAAGATGCCTCATGCACTGTGACTGCTCCCAAATCCAGCAGCTCCAGCCCTGGCATGGCCCAGTGCATCCTCCCGGTCAAATCCTGGGGGTTCCCAAGGAAGACAAAGGGCAGCTTAGGCCACCCTGCTCACACCAGGATGGCCCTTTAACAGCATTGTGAGGGGTGCTGCTATGAGAAAGCAGGCACCTGTCACAGGGGTCCCAGCTCCCCGGGCAGCATCCCAGGGGCTCGGAGGCATGAAGGGGAGCAGAGCAAGGATGCTCTGGAAAGCTGGCTGCAGCAAAAGCTTTCAGGTCTTCCTGGCATGCTGGTTAAAACAGCCCCCATGAGCCCAGGGACAGGTGCCGGACACTCAGGGAAGCATCCGCCCTCACTGTGCCAGCGACTGCTGCCAGCATGGAGCCGCTGCCACCTGACAGCCTGGGCTGGCAGTCCCCTCACGCTCCCTCTGTGACACCGCACGATGGCCAAAGCAGCCCTGGGGGCCGCCCCGCCACCATGGTCCGAAGGGCTGCGCAGCCCGAGCCCCAGCACACTGGCAGGGCTTGGCACCAGGCTGCACCAGAGGACAGCTTCTGCTCTCACACCAGGGCAAAGGAGGCAAGTGCAAGGCCCCAGGAATGCTGGCATTGCTCTGCAGGGATGAAGCGAGGCAGGAGAAGCATGCAGTGTTTGAATCCAGCCTTCCCCACAACATGCCAGGCTCGGGCAGGTGCAGCCAGCCCAGGACTCCTGCTGCCTGCATGGCCAACAGCCCGCCCGTGGCTCATGCTCATGGCTCTCCTCTCCAGGAAGGGGAAGCAGATCCCTCAGATCTACACCTCCCAGGGCCACCCAAGCCTCGCTGGCCACCTCAGGCCCCTGCCATCATCCTGCAATAGGGTGAAAAGTTATTTTGCAGATGGTAAGCCAGCAGCAAGGTCTCCTGGCAGGCAGAGGACCCGGCTCTCCCTCCGCGGGACCCTCCTGGAGGAGGCCAGACCTGTTGCAGGTAGGGACACTGAAAGCTCAGTTACTGCCTCAGACCTGGGGACAGGCAGAGCAACCTCAGGCACCCCACAAAACACCACAGCAAAGACTTTGCCAGGTGCCCTGTTTTGGGCCAAGAGCTGCTGCCCATGTTTGTTTCAGATCCCAGTTGGCACAGTGAAATTAGAGAAGCACCTCACTCTAGAAAAATCAATATTTTGTTAATTAAACCTGCGCATTTTTGCAGGGGCTACATTCATATTTAAGAAGGGAAAAAACAAGGTACACACCTCTCCCGGCTCTCTGAACCCAGCAGCAGGACCTGCTGGCACGCATGTCCCCTTCCAGCACAGACCCTTCTCAAAGGTCTGCAGCTCTGCTGCTTCCAGCCCCAGGAAGCTCCCATGCAGACACACAAATCCTCTGCAGCACCGCACCTCTGGGGCCTTTTGCAACAAAACGCCATGGCATGCCTTCTGCCTTCCAGGAGCTGTTTCACCTGGAGCATCCTCAGGGAAGCAGCAAGCGATGCCTGGGAAGAGCACTGCAGCCCAGCAGCCTTCACGGTGCATCTGGAAGATGCCCTGCTGCCCACACCAACCTTGACAGGGCAGAGTGTTTGCCAAGGCCTGCCAAAAGCTGG